AGGCAGCAGCTGGTCCTGTATTTCTCTTGCAATTAGCTTTCTTCCTTTATGTTAAAAAAATCAAAGAAATGTCCACATTATGCAGAACTGTTTTCACTCAGTACTCACCATGACATGAATACTGAAAGTGCTAGAAAAATAACCAGGTAATAATCATGTTTATGGAAATCTTTATCTTGCAGCAGCTGGCAGATAGAAAAGCTGAACTCAAAAGTTTTTTTTAGTTTTTTTTTTTTAAGACAAAGTGAAGCGCAAAGTCCTGGATCCCGGAGGCGCTGCCGCTCCCCTTGCCCTCCACAAGCCTGCAGCGCCCGAACAGCGCTGCTCCCAGCACGCAGCCCGGTCACAAGGTAGGGCTGAACACTGTGTCTCTCTACCAGACAGCCCTGAAGAATAATTGTGCACGTGGTCTATGAGAAGGTTGAAGCTCTTCCCAGACTCTTGCAAGGTGGATGTTTTCTAAACTATCTCCCTATCCTCAAGGGGCAAGTTTTCTTTGCTGTTATATAATACATGACATAGAAGGGGGGAAAAAGTAGTTTGCCTCCTTCCCCAAAAAAACCTCTCTAGCACACAGTTGGTCTTAGCAACTCAGGGAGTGCACATGCCAAATGTCTCAGGCCCCAAAACACATTCACTTCCCTACTGTTCAAGGCAATTTGAACGTTTCTGCCTCATCACACTAGCAGAGAGGTCCAGCTTCGAACCTCCTGCTTCCATACAGCGGTGCAGGAGTGAGGAGCTCACAGATCTGCGGGTCCCACTTGCCCGGCCCCTCTCCATCACAGCACCACTCTGGGAGCTCCCCACTTCTCTCCAATTGCCCAGTGGCCTTTTCAGCTGGGATTCATCACACACCTAAAAAGTCTCAAGATGTAGAAAACACCCAGAAGGCTTTTTCTTTTTCCTGCATAATTACAGGCAGTAGTTGCTGCACTAACGCTACACCTCATCCTCTGCCCCTGCAGCAACACAATAGGCAAAAAGAAAGTAACCTCACCAAAAAAAATCTAGGAGAAAACCTAATCACTGCATTTGGTGCAGATACAGGACATCCTCCAGACGTCTGGCTTGCACAGGATCTGGTGCTTCACAGATGTAAGCATGGGCTCATCCAAGTAATTCATTTTCTTAAATGCTTTATTTGTGTAAGGCTGTCAGAACCTGAGTGGAGGCAAAACCCAGGCGCAGCAGCAGGTGCTGCCCTGATCTCAGGCCTCGGTGTTGATTCAACTCCAGCTTAGGGGCTCATCCCAGGGACTACGCGGTTGCCCTAGTGGCCCAGGACCCTTTTCCCATGCTGTGCACGTAAGCACTCGCAGCCCAGCAGGATACAGGGCCTGCCTGCATGAATCCAAAGGGGTTGCTACAAGACCCTTCACGCTGCTCTACTCAGCAACTTGGATCCTGGGTCTACTGCTAGGGATGTCAGGGGAAAGTCCAACTGACTCACGGGAGTGAGATTAAAGACTCAACATATCACTTATTCATTGGTGATGGGTCCACAAAAGCATGAGGACAGAAGGAATAGAAATAGAGATCAATGACAAGGAAACGAGCTGGGATTGTAACAGAAAAGCTTCCACAGGCGAGTGCTGCATAGACAAATGCTCTCCCATTTGCCCGAGTTGCAGAAGCCTCAATGATCAGGGAGTATAAAAGTGAAACAAACCTTGTGGGCAGGGGCATCTTCAAGTGGCCAGTTCACACAGCAGGTAAAACCAGAGAAAGCTTTTGGGAGTAGAAGGTCTTCACCATGCCCTAGGAAGACTCGTCTGCTATATCAGACAGTCTAACACAAGGAGTTTCCCCTCCCAAGGGACATGCCTGGCTTAATTTAAACTTTTCAGGTCAGAATTAAAGGACATGTCTCTTCTCCACTGCTGTCTCAGCAGACATCCCTGTTTTATTACAAAGAAAGGGTCTGGCTCCCGCTCCCATTGAAGTCAACAACAAAATCCCCACTCACTGCTATGGAGGAGCATCTAATCCTACTTGCTATCATCATCCTGCCTCCAGGAGATAACAAGGGATCTTTTTTACCTCACTAAACTACTAAAATAAGAGCATTGTAAGAGCCTACTGGCTGATTTAGTCTTTTATACCACTTAAATGAATTGCATCAGAGAGTATTTGAAGACTGAGCATTAAGTAGAAGCAGACGCTGGCACTTGTACAATATGTTGTTTCCTTCTAAAAAGTTGTGTACCACCTGTTCCTCCCATTTGCTGTTTTTTCCTAAAGACATCCCTCGCAATGAAATTAGTCAGTAAAATGCAACCCACAAACACGTGCTTGGTAACTAACTAGGAGTCAGGAGCTGCCGGCATCAATAGAACAACTTCCTCAGATAGGCCCTCAATAATGAGTGTTTGCTGGCCCTGCCTCTGGGCTTCACATCTGGTGTTTGGTAGAACACACATTAACTAAAGCATCTGCTATCACTCAGAAAGCAACCACTTTTTCAACTCTGCATCTTTATAAATAATGGCAGGCAATGAAAAACAAAGCTGCCCTTAAGAAGGCTACCTACTCCTGCATATTCATTGTCTCAGGCTTTGAATCAGTGACTTGATTGAGCAGGGCTTTGGACATGCACCCTGAATGCCCAAGTTCATCTGAAAAAGAATCGAAGCAAGGCAGTTGTGCAGCGGAGCAGGACTGCCCCACTGGAGCAGGGTCAGGCTGAGCAGCAACCCAGCTCACCAGTGCCAACACCGCGAGCAAAGCCCGTTCAGCACCATGCGGGTGCCAGCTGTTCTGCCAACATGCAGGGATAAAAGCAACAGCCACAGCCCTCACCCAGGGCCTGGCAGAGATCCTGGGGCTGACAAGCTTCCCTCAGCCCATCCTGCTTTCCGTGCTTCCACGGAGCAAGACATCACACCGGCACTTTCCCTGCTGCTCCACATGTGAGCAAAGGGCGTTGCTGCACAGCTTGGCAAGGTGCAGCCTAGGCCACAAAGCAGGGTAGTTATGTCCACACTGTAACAGCCTCTGTCCTGAATCGCTGCATTTGAGCTAGCTCATTTTCCAGGATAAGACTGATAAGGTGAAGCTCCATAAACCACCTTGAGATTTGCAGAAACAAAGAGCTAAACTTACAGGTAAGAGACTTCTTTCTACTTCTCACATAACATGTGCTCTAGTTTTAGAAACAAGTTTTCCTTAATTAATCAAGGAAATTAAAAAAGTTGTCAAGAATATCTCAAAAGACAAAATTTCTAGGCAAACAAGCACCTATAAAGATAACCAACCTGTTAAATACTAGTTTTTAGGACATGTTTGGTAATTCTTGTTTACCTGCTTGCCTAACTAGGACACAAATTAGATGACTTACCTATACATGACCTGCACAACTCAAGAGAGTTGCTCATCTACAGCCTCAACTCTCCCTGGAAGGGCAGCAGGATGAGCACAGGGACAGGTAACATTTATAATAGAATATCTTTCTATAAAGAAGCAATCTTATGTATTAATTACATGGAGCTCCTGTCAGTGCACGTAAGCACAGCCCCACTCAGAGGAGGGCCCAAGTTGGGACTTTCTTCCTTTTCCCAAACAGTAAGTAAATGAAAGCATAGAAAGAATTCTCCCTGGCTTCACTATAAGCAGCCCAGATCCTTAGGCTCCCATTTGGATTACTGGAGTTGGCTGTAGTTACAGCTTTGAAAGACCTGGCTCTTCCTGGACATTTAACTTCTCGCCTAAAGTTTCATGTTCACTGCACATCAACATGCACAGGCTGACATGGAGCAGCTAAAAGAAGAGTCCTGCCCTCTCAAATCAAAGGAAGATCCTGCCTGACGAGACAAGGATTAACACCACGAACAGGAACTCAGTAGTTTCATTTCACATCTGTTGACAACTGGAGGCTCACTGAAAAAATTTTCATGCCTCACCCATCTCCCTCGCTGCCTCTCACAAGCGCACAAACCACGAGGCTTATTTGATCTGCAGCAGATCCCAGAAATCCCGCATTGCTGCAGCGCAGCCTGTCACTGCTCATGACGTAGCAGCAATGCAGTGCTGAGCTGACCAGACAGCGACACAGAGCAGAGACCGCGGCTCTCGTGCCAGGACGATGCTCTGCAGAGAAGACTGAGTGCAGCAGAAGGGAGAGGGATGAAAATAGGAATCCAGCAGAGCTGCCCAGACAACCTACTGCGCTGCCCTGCCACCCAGCTGCCTGCAATGCAAAGGGCAAATAAGGAGGCACTGGAGACCCTTTTACCTCCAGAGTTGATCAGAGCAACTCACCAGCTGCCATTTAGACTCAGGGATTGACCAAGATGACCACAGAGAGACCGGATGCCTTCAGGCACTGCAAAGATCTATGACCTCCAAGAAAAAAAGGGATGGGAACCTGCCAGCAAAACAGCATTTAGCTGCTCCCATTTTGTTGTTTTTCACTTAGTGCCCCTCAAATAGCCAAAAGCAGCCTGCACCCATTACACAACCTTCCTCCAAATTGATGATGCCAGGGCACACTGCAAAACCCCCGGATCAGCATTTCTTTGTGCCCATGCTGCAAATTGGTGCACTTTATAAACAAACTCAGTAACATTTCAACAAAGCAGAACAACAAACTCTCAAATATGGAGCTCCATGTGGCGACTGACTCGTCTATCAGTGCACTTTGCAGAGAACGTTCTTGGCAGCCACTAACCCTAAAATCAAAATGTAAAAGAAGAGGACTGTGTCAGAGGCCCAGCTTACAGTGCTTGTGCTCAGCAGCACTGCCGTTGGGATAGTGCAACTTGCTCCTTCAGCAGGACATTTCCTACAGAAAACAAACAGCTGCGCAGAAGAAGTTGGCAAAAATCTTGATGTCTTTTTATTTTAAGTTTCCACTGTGCCATAAACTCCTGCACTGGACAGCCCAGTAAGTGTTCTTGCTGTTTCTTGTTTAGAGCACCACCAAAACATACAACACAGGGACAAGGAAAGTCCTGCCACAAACAATTTTTGTTTTGTTTGAATAAATTAAGGAGATTTACCAGGCAACCCATCCTAGTAAAATCACAAATGTGCAGCGTTGCTGGTGCTCAGGAACAACCAACATGAGACCAAAATACGCAGAAATCCCACCTCTCAGTGCAGCCGTCACGCTGTCAGTCACAGGTCAGGTTTCCACAATCTGAAACAAAGCAAAGGCCTCAGTTAGCGGCGACTATTAAAGGAGAAGGGCTCTTACATTTTATTAAATGAAACACTGATGAATTGCATCCTGCGATTAAGAAATACCTTCATTCTTTGCCTTTAGCAATATGGACAAAGTTCTGGCCAACTCGCCCTTCCAGTGACCAAAGCCCCCACTGCCACCGTAGGTCAGACACAGCCCTTCAGATGCATCAGACCATGTTCCATCAGAGAGGCTGGATCCTCCAGAACACCCATCTTCATATTCAGAGACATCGACAGGAAAACAGACTCCATAAAAAAAACAGGCTGCACTGGTAAATTTGCACAAACAGGATTGGAGTTTGATGAGTATCTAAATGTCCTTTTTCCATAGAGAAGATGTGCGAGCAGAAAGCCTCTTATGTGTCCAGATTCACCAGGGATGATTCGCCAAAGATGACAAAAGATAACAACCACCAACACCAAAAGCCCAAGGACCCAGAGAACAAGCAAGACCGTGGCTAGTACAACATTTTATCAAAAGCTTCCCTGCCTCAAGAAACACCATAATTGCACCTCACTGTAAAGAGATTCCATCCCAGGCTGCAGACCAGGTGGATGTGACCTGCAAACTGGTATCACGCAATTCAGTGTCACGTATCCCAGAAAAGCTTCAGTGACGAAGTGCTGCCAAACAGCTACAAGAGAGGAGCTGGGGCACAAGGACCCTCTAATTCTCCCTAGTGCTACAGGTTTTTACTGCAAGACCTTGGGCATGTCCTTAACTGCTTTGTTCTCTGGTTACTACTAGCATGTGCATAATGTGAACACAGCAGCAAAAGTGAGGATTAGTTACTGCTCTGCATTTCTGAGAAAAGTTGGGCAGGGAAGAAGCAACTGTGCAGGGCATATTATTGTTATTTATGAATTGCCTAAGATTAAGGGAGAAAGCTAGAAATCCCTTCTCAGCTTGAAGGCAACGAGAGCCAACACACCATTTTGCAACCATTCTCCTCCACTACTGTTACCATTAATTCACATACATCCTACCTGGAGAAGTAACTTTAGCCAGAATGGGACTAACAAACATCAGAGCTGAACAAAACTTCTTAAAATACTCCCTATAAACAGAGAAGGGGTGAAGAGCAGATAAACACTAACAGGAATTAAACCACTTGGTAATTTTAGTAAACTTTAGGCTAGGCACTCATGAGTGTAAGCGCTGTCACTGAAAGCAGAGGAAGTCTCACCACTGATTTGAGGCTTGCAAATGACAAGTCAGTTCTTACCATGCACTGGCCAGGCGCGGTTCCTGTTATCTTTGGTTAATTCCATATGTCTGAGAAGGAAATCAACTCTAAGCCGGTTAGACTTGCTAAAGGAGATTTGTCTAAGGCCTCATCCCCACATGCAGTGTCCTGCTCCAGAGACACAGAGTTCCTTAGGAAGATACTATTTGTCCAGATATCATCAGTAGTGACCAGCAAGCGTAACTATCTAGCAGTTCACATGCAATATTTCCTACTTGAGCAAGCAAGCCACTTTTAGCCACTAACTCAGAATGGCTACCAATGAGTAGCCAGAACAAGACGTGAGCAGGGTAGGGGTCCCTGTAGGCTCCCTTTTTGATGAGGGCAGATGTTTCTGACGAGAGTGTGACAGACACACAACTGAAGTGTCCAACTAGCACAACTTGCCAGCATGGTGCAGCTCCAGACCACACTTGAGAGGCCAGTAACCTGCACTTGTCCTAACATCTCGAGTCATGAGATGGGTATGAACAGGAACCACAAAGGCATCCAAAGCTGTTGCTAGCAAGGTAATACAGCTGTGAAACACACTATTTACTTCTCCAACTCAGCTGCACCCATTAACCCCTTTGCTTTCAGACCCTCAAAATTTTCAGAATCGTAGCCCTGACTCACACAGCCTGGGTGAACACCCAGGACACAGCCAGGGAAAGACTATAATAAGAGCCTTGCCCATTACCTGACTCACAGCAAAACTAATTAGTGCTGCTACATGTTGGCATTTTGTCTTCTGAATGCTTGTTGGCTAATAAAATCGGGTGCTGTTTGAAAAGATCATGCCTATATTGGATAATTTATCCACTCCCTTCCTGTAAGTGGAGAGGCATTTGCTAATGCCATCAGTTTTTGTGCGAAGCTGCTGTTCCAACACGGAGTCACACCAGCAGAGCTGGCTGGCGAGGTCTCATTAACAGTTTTTCAGCAACAGACAAGAATAAAATAAAGTTGCCTGGTATTTGCCCCCTTTCTGACAACAGCAGCCCGGAGAGAGCGTGTGAGCCCATAGCAGAGCTTGGTGGAAGCGGGACCCAAACTGGAACACAGGGCAAGCACAATCCATGACATGGTCAGCTGTCCCCTGCAGCCAGATTCATATAGAATCTGTACAGACAGATTTGTTACAAAAACATTGATGAGATTATCAAAATCAGCAAACCTGTTTCTGTCAAGAAGAAACCAAGAGGAACTGCTTTGCTCTGTTTCTCTTGGACAGGTAAAAGGCTAGCACAGACATACTGTATCCTGCAGGGCTTGGAATGAGTTCCCAGAGGGTCTGCCTGAAGCTCAGCTCCATGTGGGATCATCTGTGACCAGTCAGAGGAAAGCACCGAGCTGAAAGAGTCTGGAAGGTCTAAAATTGAATGCCATGAAATCCATGGATGCAAAGTGCTGTAGCACTTGGAAGAACAAGAGGGGGGAGCTAACGCTCCCAACAGGAGCCTGCAAGACCTCCCCTTGCAGCAGCCCAGCGCGTTTATTAAAAGCTTGGATGAGCTGGGTCTGCAAAGTCTGCTGCGGTGATTTAAACCGTCACTGCTCTGCTGCCCTTCTGAGGCTCCCCTAGCTGAGCCAGCAGAGGAAACGTGTTTCAGCACACAGCTTCACCCTGCCTGATCTGAGCTGAAACCCAATGGGCTGGACCCAGGTACGAGACTCAAATCCACCTGCATTCCTGCTGCCGCTTGCATGGAGAGGAGTCACCTGCAGCAAAAGGGCCAAGCCAAGAGCCAGATACTCAGCTTCCACTGGCAGGTTCTCCAGAGCTCTTTGGTCAGAGCCACCAACCCCACACTGCTGGCACTGGGTTGTGTGACAGACAGGTCTTCGCAGAGGAGATAATCCTCCAAAGTATAAGGCTAGCAACTGCTGAACATGTCTGAATGTCTTGCAAAGGAGATTTAGGCTAATCTCACTCAATTAGTGACCTACCGAGGCTGTGTCCAACCTTCACTAGACAGTCTAAAAACAGGTAAACAGGACAGGGATCTTCGGGGATCCTTGCTGGGCCCAGAGGTCCGCATGGTGCCCTTTCCAGTTCCTGCCAGCCTTGCACCCTCACCCTTCTGCAGGCAGCTCCAAGCTCCTTGCCCATCCGCCTGCCTGCATAAGATGAAGCCCAGCAGCAGGAGCTGCAGACGGGCTCTGAAGATCCTTTCTAGAAAATACACCAGCCCAGAGAACATTTCAGATTGAGGTTCACGCTTGAAGCCTACTGCTGCAGCCACGACCACAGCAAGCCTTACAAAGGCACACCAAGTGCGTCTTCTGTTTCTTCAAAAAGCTAGAAATTTCTGCCCTGCAGTTAGGCTGCTACTTGTGCACCACCACAGCCTCCACCCCCAAAGTGCCACCCTATTTTGCACTGTTTACACAGCAAGAATCACCTCCGGCTCCGAGCTGGCGAGGTATGTAGGGCACTTTCCCCGCAGTGCAGTAACGAGCAGACGCCCATTCGATCCCGCTAATGGAAGCGGAGAGGCTACTTCCCCAGGAGCTAGATGGAGGATGGACCCAATGAACTCCCACCCGGTCGCTGCAAGGACAGGGTTTCCCACCGGAGCTGCGCCGCACGCGCTCTGCATTCGACGCCAGCAAAGCCTCCCACCTCCTGCTTATTTCTTGGATACACCCTATTTATCCCTTGGCCTTTTTTCTTTTTTTTTTTTTTTTTTTTTTTAAGTTTTTAAATGTATTTTCGAAGATGTGAACAGCACAAGGATAACAGCGCAAAAAAATATGCAACTGGAAGAAAAAATGCACTCAGTTTCTCAAGCAATCAGTGTTGCTCCAACCCTGTTACTATTCAAGGTAGTCCTGCATCCTCTCATGACAAAGCACTTCTGCAAATCTGAACCTGAAAATTTTGAATTGCTTTTTATGTTCATTCCTAGGCAACAGCTTCCTCATAGCAATTCTGATTTCCAGGGAGTTTATCCTACATTTATACAATTGCAAATAAATTTAACCACATCTTTTTATTACCTGCTTAGCTAATTTTCAGTTAACTGGTATTAACACTACAAAAGCTGACAGGAGGAAGCATGAACACGTCCTCCTCCATCTTGCAGGCTCCTCCTACCCAAACATTCACAGTCACATCTCAAAATTCCTCTATGGCAAAGGATCATTTAGCCTGGTTCAGAAGGGTAATTGAGGCACTGAGAGATTAAGGTATTTGCTGCACGGTCCCAAGGAACTCCTTGCAAATGGGCATGAATCTGAACTCAGCTCTGGTCTTTTAGGCTCCAGCTTCCTTTCATTAAGGAGGAAGCAGTCAGAGATGTTAGCAGGGGTGCTCATAGAAGGGATCCTCATTTATGGAGTAAATGAAACAGCTTCTGCCCTACAAGCAACAGGGAAGCAGAGGGGGTTAGGTCTCAAACCACAGGCAGAGGCCAATTTTGGAAGCAACTCTGATTTACTTCTCCAAAGCTGGCTCTGGTCACAGCAGCCACAAACAGCAGCTAGAGGATGCTACCGACTTCAGAACTGGACACAGTGCCCTCCCACTGAAAACTTCACTGGTGCAACTGAGGTCAAGTAGATACAGGGTCCAAGTTGAATTTTGAAAAGCAACATGATCAAAGAGGCAGTGTCCCAGTTGCAAGGGTTGATAAACACTTGAGCTACTTCTACAGCTATGCTAGAGACACTGACTAAACAACAAAACATATTTTAAAAGTATACATCAAGCAAATATATAAAA